CGGGGTGGGGAGGACGCGGTTCAGGGAGGTGCCTGCCCATGGGCACAGCCACCCCCCTCCGGGCTTTATTCTTCATCAACCCTGTCCCGCTTGTTTGAGATCATCAACCCGCGTTTGGCAGAACGAATCTCTCCCTCGTGCCTCGAGGGACAGTTGTCAATAATAATAAGATCTAATGCAAAAGAATCAACTGGGAATTTAAATGTTTCAGTCCATTACAGTGTTCTGTGCCTGCTGCAGCAACGCAAAAGGGCATTGTTTGGGGGTTGTTTGTTTTTTCTCTTTAGTTTGCCCTCTTAGAAGTGGGTGATGTTCCTATAAAAGGCTTTTGACAGGCAAGGAGAAGGCAGAATTTGTTTTATTACCTTTTGTATTAGGCTGTGAATCTAATTTTCAAATATAAGCACTTAGGCTTCACCTGAAAAACACGCAGGCAGTCTTAAATGGACACTTGCATTCAGGGTTACGCTGTTACGTAAATATGTTTTGCGTGCCCAACTTCCCATTAACACAAGGTCACAAATTAAGTTCCTTATGTATTTACATAACATCAGAGCATGAATTGCATACAACTGCTGAAGGCATGAATGCACCTATTCAGGATTCAGCTGGGCTTTGTGTCTGCATGTGAGTGTCAATATATTCACCGAGATAGGTCAAAGCATTCGATGCTGATACAGGAATTTTCTGTATTTCTAAATATTAATAGGTTTCAAGAGGGACTTTTTTTTCTGGCTTCTTGATTGTTTTTTCCAAACAAAATTTTCTTTAAACTTTTTCCCCCTTTTTAATACCATTTTTTTAAATTGTGGTTCGAACTGTACTTTGACAGTCATCCTCACATTTTGCCAAAACCAGCATATTTAGTAGGGATGCTGTTGATCTTTATAGACATTAAGCTTGCTAGTGCTGCTGTGGAATAGGTAAAAGAGTGCATTAGTTTTAGAGATGGGCAAATGCTTCAATTTGTTTTCCCCTCTCAGTTTTTCCAAGTGACGCTGTGAGTCAGTAAGTATTATTATCCATGACTCTGGAGCCTGTTAAGTTAATGTATTTCATGCACATGTGTGTCAAATCATTATATACGTACAACCAGATCATCTGTAGGATGTGGGAACTGGGTTTGGAGGTTGTGCTATCGCATGTGACTAAAAGAGGCTGCTGCCTTGTCCAAAGTCTCTGTCAACGATACGATGAGTGAGGGTCCACATGGGCGCCTTGTGGTCATGGTCGTGGGTGCAAGAGGTGCCTGAGTGACACCCACATGGGATGCCGGAGTGTCACCCACGTGGGATGCCTACTCTGGGCTGTCCCTGAGCAATCCTCTCCAGACACCTTTGTGTCAGCAAAAGCTTTGAGCTGAGTGAGGAGAAACCTGGATCTCTTTGCCCGTTCCTCCTCCTCCTCCTCTTGGATGCTCCTGGCAGAGTGTGACTGGGGAGAGTCCGTCCTCGGTGAACTCTATGGGAGAGAAATGCCAACACATTTTCTTTGGACCAAGAAAGGTTTCGTTATTCACTATTCAAGCTGAAGTTCTCTCAAGAACTTGTAGTTGAATGCGAATGTCTTTTCTACTCTTAGGCAGACGTGGGGATATACGTTCTCAATAAAGGAGAGGAACAAGACAGAATTAGCAGGTTTTAGTTTTCTTTTAGGAGGTGTCCTATATGGTGACATACTGGGTATTTTAGGCGTGAAATTTGAAGAGAACTCATTTGGCACTTGTAGTATTTTTCCAAAGTCTGATTTTAATCAGCCAAATAACTGAAACCAACTCCTCCCATGAATCCATCATAAAACCTAGTTTCTTACTCAATATGTTTGCTTTCTGAGCTAGCTCCTTGGCCAATTTTCCAATGCAAGATTGCCTTTTTTTTTCCCATGGGAGCGATTCCCTTAGCACAAGGGAACGCCCAAGTGCAATGAGGCTGATGTCCCAGCGTCTGTCACCAGCCTGCACTTAACTGCAGGGGATGGGTTACAGATGGGATGGGTTACAGATGAAGAAAACCAGCAGAGACCCCGCAGCTGCTTTTGACCACCACGTGAGAATTCCCCGGTGTTGGTTTACCCAAGGTGGATGCTGCTGTGATAGCATGAGGCTGGAGTGGAGGAACTGTGTGGGCCTTAGGGGACGGGTGAATCCAGTGACAGCTCAGCATCACGGCCTTTCTCCTGCCCCAGGGTGACGTCCTGGTCCGCTGCACTCCCTTGGTGAGATACAGGCAGCTCGTGCGTCAAACCAGCGAGCCTCCCGCCACACGCCTGAGTTTTGACAGACGTGATGAGAGCATGGAGATTGTAATAGTCCCTAGAAGGCCGTAAACTAGTAGAAATCAGAATACCCCTCAAACTGCTGTGATTTAAACCCAGGGTCAGTCTTCTTAAAATCCTGGGAGTCAGTGAAGCAGAAAGAAGTGCACCACTGACTGAAATCGCTCGACGTTTTCCTCAGATATTCTCTCTTTCCCAATGGGGAGTTGCTTATACATCTCCTAGACCTTATAAACATGATGTATTTATGTCAGAGTGAGTCGAGTTCTTCCCTGTCTCATGTCTCGCCAAGAGAGCAAGGTCCTAATTTCTGATTGCCAATACTACTTTGAGAGGCAGAAATAGCAAAGCTGAATCATCAGATCACAGTTTGAGTTTCTGATCTCAGCTGGAGTTTTAGAAGCAGGCACTTGCAAGTCGGACAATTACTCTTCTAGAAGTATCTTAGTTCCTTGGTTGTTAAGGGAACACTGGAGAGAAGTAGAAAATGCGACGCTATAGGGATGACTAAAAGTAATGTAGTTCATGGGCTTACGAAGAAAACCCACATTGACTTGATGCCCTCCCCTTAGATCGTTAGGGCCATTGTAGGCACTAGTCAAACTGCCTCCAGGAGCTTCTCTTTAAAGAGGCAGAAAGGAAGAACTGGAGAAACAAAACTGTATTTTCATCCACCAGGAACTGGATAACTTTTCTGAAGGTCTTGGCCACATCACTGCACCCTTCCCTTTAGATCCAGCCTCTCTTTTTTTAAAGGTCCTTTCCCCATCCATCAGCTGGACAGTGAAGGCAGCACATGGCTGGTATCAGGACTGGCACTGCAGGGAAGCGACGTGGGAGAGATGCGATTCCACCACGAGTTCCACTGTGGAGGAGGGCTTTGCCCTCCCAGCCTTCGCCTTCCCATAAGAGACGTGAAGGGATGGCGTCTGCCGCTCCGTGGCCAGCCCGCGGTGTGTCGCGTTCATTTGAATTGGAGACACGTCGATGGGTCTTAGCTCGTGATGAGCGAGGACAGCACTTGTTGCTTTGGGTCAGACTGGTCTCCTTGTTTGTCCCCATGAGCCCCACAGGAGCAAAACATGGGCAGCCCGTCCCTGTAGGGTCACGCTGGACTTTTGTCACCTTGTGTAAATCTGGTGTTCACTGTCCGACTCTGTTCTCCTCAGGAATCGGTTGGGATGGGTGTTTGAGCAAACCCAGCCAGGCTTTCACCTCTCTACAAGGATGGCATTTGTCGTCGGCGTGGAGACAGCTGACAGTGCAGATTGTGTTGGGTTGCCTTGCTGCAAAAGAGCACCACTGGCTGCAAAAGCAGCATCCACGGCACCGTGTGGCTCCTTTCCCTTTCAAATATTGCACATCTCGTTGTCGACGGATGGCGATGGTGTCCCCCGCCTCTGTTCCCGATACATAACACCAAGACTGTTAATGCTGGAGTGTAATGTGCTCCGTTCATCCTCTGTAGCCTGAAATCTGTTGATGCTTTTGGAAAGCTGGCTGAAATGACTGAGTGAATTTAATTTAAATTGAAGGCAGATCTTTAGTGCCAGATTTGCTCAGTTTAGTTCTTCCAGTTATTTAGGGTTTCTGTGCCACACTGATCCAGCAAAGGTCTTAAAAACCAAATTTTGAATGGTAGGGTTTCTTGCTGAAGAAAGTCCTGTGAAATTTGTCCCCATCAGCAAATTTTCCTTATGAGGGTTGGAGCAGTGCTTGCAACACCTATTTCGGGGTTAAGGATTTGGCCAGAGGGCAGAGTGATCATAGAACACAAAGGCTGCGTGGTTTTCAGTTAGACAAAATGTGTAAAGCTGAGCTTCATGCAGAGATATTCGTTGCAAGCACACGTTTTCTGCTCTTATATGAGTGACTAGAAGTGTGTATTTAGCTGGGATTGTTAAATGCAGCTCAGTTAACGCGTTTTCCTCCCTTCCAGAGGTCTCCCACACCACTCAGTGCCATTTAGTTCTCTCTCGCCTTTATACCCAACACCCTTGAACACGCGCATGTGAAAAGCCAACACGTTGTTCTGGTGCGAGGGTTGCATCACGGTGCTGCCTGTGAAGTGTGGGTTTGGTAGCCAAACCAAAAACCTTCCTTCGTCATATTTGGATGTTTGTTGTGGAACTTTTTCGCACAAGTTTACATAGCTTCTGCCTCTCTCTTGCAGTTTTTAATAGGAATTTCCAGCTTTCCCCAAGCTCTCAGCTGACGCGCAGTAGAAATCAGCAGAAATAATTTGCATCTTTGCTATGTGCTGCTTTCAGCCAAACCTAAAATATCTTCAGTTAATTCCAGTTGTACTTAGAAGATAATAAGTTTTAATTTTGATTCTATTGCCGGAATTGCTTTGGTGTGCTACCCCTGCTTAGCGCAGTGCGTCAGCTAAATGGGGATGTCTAAAATTCAGCTTTTCTTTTCAGTAAAGCCAAAAAATACTTTATTCCTGTTGATGTAGTTTCAAAATGAATGAATGTACTCTTATTTCTCTTAAATGCTTCCTCGTTTTGTGTCTAACCCATTTCAGTCAAAGGATCCCTTGGATAATTGCGATCGGTTTTAGGAAGGTTTTCCTTAGGATGTGGGGTTCAGATGGGAAAATTGGGGCTGAGTGAGTCAAAAAACTACAGAGCCAGTCTGAATTTTGGGGAGGAGGCAGAAGGAGGGGGACAGTACTGCTCTTTAGGACAAGCTCAATGTGTGTCCTGGCTCTCTCCCCGCAGCCCCCTCCTCGCCGTCTCTTTCGCCGCCTCCTGCGGAGTCCCGGGCATCGCCCTGCTGACGCTGGCAGTGAACCCCCTCACTGGCGCCCTGGGAGCCTTCAACATTTTCTTGTACACGTGTTGTTACACACCCATGAAGAGAATGAGCATCGCCAACACGTGGGTGGGAGCTGTCGTCGGCGCCATCCCCCCCGTTATGGGCTGGACCGCGGCTACCGGCAGCCTCGATGCTGGTGAGTACAAAACCCTTGGGTGTGGGCGAGCGGTTCTCGGCGTTGCCTTTGGGATGGCTAAAAAGACCTACTCAAGAGACAATAAACCTCGATCTTTATGCTTCTTGACCTGGTGCTGCTTCGACAGCAGATACATTCTGCTATTTGCGATGCCGACGTGTGTTAGAGCGCGGCGAGTGGGTGCGATGGGATCGTTCTCCTTACAGGAGCGTTTCAGGGGCAGGCATCAGCTGATAAAAGACTGTGTCGTTTTGAATGTGTTTAGGTCATCTTAAAAAAAGTCTAGAAGGAAAATAGTGTCTTTGGGGTTCCCGTGGAAGGAAATGTTGCATAATTTCAGGATTAAAACCATACTCAGTAAGATCTAACTGACAAGTTCAGCTGGAAGATTCCCAGATGTGTTTAGTACTGTCTTTCCACAAGGCAAAAAATATCCCAGGAAGGTTAATTCATTGGTGTGTTTCTGAACCGCCCATTTCTAAACTCTTAAGTTACAATGTTCCTTCTCCCCCTCCTTGAAAACCAAACGAAGATTTCTGGTTTAGTGACTGAGAACTATTTTTACACTCCTTACAAAACACTGATCTCTTCAGCAGCTAAACTCCGACACAATTAGGGGTCGTTTTTCCTGCCAGCTAAAACCTTAAGAATCTGAGTGGCTCCACGTAGTTATATGCTGCAGGAGCTAATGAAGTTCAATTAACAGGTCTGTTAAGTATTTCTTTCAGCATACACTCATCCCGCAGTGGGGCATATTTAAGACTTGAACAGTACTTTTCAACAGGAAGGCTTTTAACCAGAACTTAGCAAGAATCTGTGCAAAATCCGTTCTTTATTCCTGCTACACACTTCCTATAAAAGTCAGTCTGAATTGGCTTTGTGTACACATGTTCTGATAGGGATCTAATCCAGAGCTAGGATGAAAGGGTTTGTGGTTGGTTTTTCTTTAAACGTTTGTGCTGGTTCTGCACAAACATTTACTTCTCTCTAAGTTCTTTCTTTTTAGTATTCAGACCTATAATCTTAAGTACGTGTTTGTATAGTGCCTCACGTAAAGGAGTGCATAACAGGCATCATTAGAAGCTCTGTGTTTCTGAGGAGAAGAGAATGAATTAAACCCACAAATATATATATTTTAAGGACTGTGCCATTCTGGCTGCAGTTGCCTGGATCTCAGTTCTTACGTCGTTTAGGCCTTTCTGTGTTGGTTTTAGCATCTCTTTGCAGAGCTGATGCTAAAAGATGATTCTCACGTGCCCATTCTTCACCTGCAAAGTCCAGGCTGGAGGAACTGGAATGAAGAGCTCCGCCTCATCACAAGCCTTTGCTGTAGAGGCTGTCACAGTTCAAATTTTCACCCTTGGTTTTAAAATGACAGTTAAACTGCTGCAGCTAAAGCCAAACAGATTAAATAATCTGGCACTAATTCCCGTTATCTTTAATTCGCCAAGTTGCAACTTGCTCTTTGAGCCCCGTTTCACCAAGCCCAGCACTGCCCTGCCCGGCAGGCAGGACCGGCTGGACCGTCCTTGTCCCAGGTGAGCTCCTCTTTTCTAATTTTTAGCTGAGATGTGATTATGTGTCCCTTTGCCAGCTCTGCTGTGGAGGGGATAACCTCTGGTAACGATGATCGGTGAGATTAGGTAACTTTAAACCGCCTGAGCAGCCTTTGCCAGAATGTGATGATCGGCGCAGGTGCAGAACCCAACGTATTATTTGTTCTGGGTAGCTCAGACTTTCTGCCGTCACCTCCCAGCATCGGTGAGGACAGGCAGCTGGTTGAATAGAGGAAGAAATGTTGAGCTGCTCCTGGTCTGTGTGATAAAGAAAGTCCTGAGAATGGTGACCTGAATGTAGTATTTTAGTATTATTTTCAGTATTAAAAAAAAAAATAAAGCAGAACAACCAAAAAACCAACAAAGATACCCTACAAACACCTTTGAAAAAGAAAAGAGAGTAATAGAAGAAAAGAAATGCGTTGCAGACTTTGATTTTCAGGGTTAAGCATTCTGCTGTTGCCAAGGAGAAGAGAGTTCAGCGCCTGACAGCACCCGATGCACACGCAGTCCAGGCGTGCACGCGTCCCTGCGTGGTGCGCAGACCTGTGTCCCTGCCCCAGCCAGCCTGCCCGCAGTTGTTGAACTCATTAATAATGTGTAATTAGCTTGGAGACTTAACCTAGTTTTAGGTAGAGGTGTGAAAATGCGTTTGCACCTCATTTAAAAAAAGAAAAACCAAAACATTCCATTCAATAACAAACAGGAACGCAAAGGGAGTCGGGAAAGTAATGAGAAGGAAGGTTCTCACTGCTTCACGGGTGGATTTTGAGTTTATATTTTCCCATGGATTTTCTCTCCTTGTAATCTTCCCACAGCAGCCTCGTTGTTGTACAGTTGGAGGGAAAACAATATTTACCTTTCATTGCCATTTGAGGGAGGTGCCCAAATGGAGCTCTTCTGGCGCGTGAGGAGCTGGGAAGCTTCACGGTGTGTCTCATGGATGGCACTGCAGAGCGCTCCTGGGGCTTTCAGAGAGTTGGAGATGATCCCCAGTTTCCAGAGATATTAAGAAAGTGTCTCAGATCGGAGCAGCCTCGTTTCAGTTTGTCCTCATTTTGTTTATAACTTTCTTAATTTCAAGATTAACACCTTGACTGTTTCTTGCACAAGAAGTAAATATCAAATGTTTGCAGATAAAAATCTGGGACTCTCATACTTCCAGTGAGGCATCCACTTGCTGATATTTCTTACGCTCCGCATCTTTTGCAGTTCTTGTGGTGATTCCCAGTGATGCTTCCTTCCTTTTCTGCCCCTCATAGGTAACTTATGTGCTCTCAAGTCTCATTAAACATCTTGCCCCCAACCCTGGATTTTGTGCCCACGTAATTTAGGGAATACCTCACATTTCAAAAGCCAAAGATAAGGTTATCTCTGGGAAGATGTGGAATTCTTTGTTGTGGGTTTGGGGGGGGGTTATGTTGTTTTTTTTTTTAATGGCAGCTGTTTAAAACTGATGAAAGATGGGGAATGTTAACATTTCCTCACTGGGGGAGCCGAGTGCAGGTGAGGTGGTCAAAGGTGCATGATAAATGTAATTTATCACGTGGATATCACTACCACATATCTGGTGTGTTTATGCAGAACTTAACTGCCAGCCTGTGATTTGCAGTAACACGTTTGCTTCCTTGAAAGCGGATTTCATTGCTCCTTTGTGGTGCTATTTATTTCCAAAGAGCTTTGTTTTCCTCATAAATCTAGACACCAGCAAATTATTTCTCCTCGTTTTCCAAAAGAAGGACTGACGGGAAAAGAACGAAATTCTCTTAAAGCCTTAAGTGATAGCGTACAGAAAAAGAGGCAAAGCTCGGCAGAGTGTCCTGTTCTGGGGGCGAGCTGACGTCTTTAGGGACCAGCCGAGCCCTTCCTTCTGGCGTGCGAGGGGCACAGCATCTATGTGGTTTAATTTACTCTTTCTTCCCGGGTGAACGCCGCAGCGTGCTTGTTGGAAATGTTTACTGTCCGTTTAAACGTGTCTTTTCTAGGGAGCAGACAAATTGAACGCGAGGGGAATGTTTCCGAGTGCCGCAGCCCGTCTTTTGCCTTTCACGTTTCGCGCTTCTTCCGCCGACCTCTCCGTAAAGCGCGCTGAAGGCTGGATCCCGGCCGGCGAGCCGTGTCGGCGTCTTAGAGCCGAGCAATTCAGCGCCGCCGCGTTCATAGAAACCACCCAGTTAGATGGAAGTGACAAGCGGGGGTCCTCAACATAATGTGCTTATCAGTTAAGGGGATTTATTCGGAGTAGGTGGCGGTGGCACAGCAGATAAGAGCCCTGACAGAGCAGCAGACTTTGCAGACCCGTGGTGGCCTGGAGCCAGGGGTATTACTGCACCAGAGAATGTTTATCTCAAGAGACTATTTAGTTTATCTCAGATGCTCCACTTGGTCTTGCTTTCCTGAAAGACATCTTGTACTGATTTTCATTCATTTCAAGAAATTTGAATAATTCCCGGGGCTGTGGAATTTATAGGCTGAGTATCAATTGTAATCATGTGGAGGCTGATTTTTAAATTGCCTTCACTTTGTAATTCAAATTGTGTTGTATGGTAGACATTAATTATGTCAGCCAACATCTATTTACAAATGGGGATTTAAAAACGGCCAGTTCTTATCAGCTGGTGACATTTGGCAGATGGATGGTTTCAGTAACAACAACAAAAAAAGAGAATAGGGGAGAGGGGGGAGCCGTGCCCGACCTGTCGGTGGCTGGAGCCTCATACCTTCCCTGGTGGAGCCCTTGGCTGCCAGCAGGAGGGAGAGCAAAGCAACGGCTTAATTGCACGCAAAATACACTTGGAGAACGTTGTGTCCCTTCCAGTGAAGCACTTTGAGCTTTCAAAGCCCCTCGATGCGCGAGCAGGTCTGGGAGCCAGCGGCCGCCGAGCCGGGCAGCTCCGCCGTCCTGCTGCGGCAGCAGAGGAGGCTCCGGCTATAAACTCCCTCTGGTAAAATCAAGCTTTTCGGGGTTTTGCTTCTCAGATGAAGGACGTCAGAATTTGTGGTCTGTTCCAGAGGAAACAAGAGATATTCGTGTCGCTGACATATGAGATTTGGAAGATGGAGGCCCAGGAGTGTGCTTTGTGGGGGTAAAAACTGTAAAAACCAAGGCGGAGAGACAATACTAGGGAGCAGCTGGTCTGAATTTAGGACAAAACCAGTGGGCTATTTTTTTTCCCCTTTTCCATCTTCAAAAGAGACAAAAGAAATGGCAGTTCCATCGCTGGGGGACCGACTCCGTGGATTCACGAGGCCCTTACCCGATTCTCTGCCCCACGCATGGCTCTGGCGGCACAGGGAGGGGAGGGGGCTGTAGGGCAGCCCCTGCACCCCCGTGTGTGAGACATGGCACCTACAGGAGAAGCACCAATATCCCAGGTGTGAGAAATGACACCCTCAGGAGGGGCAGAGCAGGGTCTGCAGGAGGGCTGGGCCCCGAGGGGAGCC